GAAATTTCACACCCCTGAAACTCAAGCCAAAGTTGCCATGACTTCTGCAATTCCAGCCTTCCATGCAGCACTTTGCAAGCGTGTTACCTAAAAGTGTAACAGCTTCAGGGTGTTTTTAGTTCAGTACCCTCATGCTGCCTTCCCTCCATACCTTTCCCTTGGCATCTACAAACCCCATCTGCTACTCTGACTCCAAGCCACTCCCAGCCATAGATTGACAAAGGAATTGAAGGGCTGTCCAATGTCAAGAAGCATGCTGACTTTGCAAGGTTTTGAATGCAGGAAAGAAGATGCTTTTTCTCCCCACAAAGCAGTCTTTGAAACAAGCATTTCCTCCCTGAATTAGGAGACTTCCTTATGGGAGTTTGCATAGCTTCACTTTTGGCATGGCCATGCAAGGTGCAAAGTCCAAACTAAACTTACATTGTTCACCAGCTCAGCAGTACACTGAATTCTGACTAGAGCTCTGTAAGAAAGCTTTTGGTTTGTATCTTCAATCCTCCAACCAATAAAGCAGTATATTTCATAGAATCAGAGAATGGATTGGGTTGGAAAGGACCTTGAGATCATCCAGTTCCAACCTCCTGCCATGAGCAGAGGCACCACACACTAAACCATGTCACCTAAGACCCCGTCCAACCTGGCCTTGAACACTGCCAGAGACGGAGCAGTCACATTTAGGTCAAACAGAAACATTATCCAATCCTCTGCCTGTACCGTTCCCAGTTATTCAAGGATGCTTTCTGCATGCTTACTACACAGTATTTGTAAATTTTCTTCTCTTGAGACTACACTTTTTGACTATTTTATAGCTTCTGAAAACATTCAGCAGCCTTATTCACATTCACCACCCCCTGTTTGCATTCAGCAAAGCCCAGGGCAGACAGACATCATAAATAAAAGTCTGATGGACAGGGTTTGAGAGCAGCAGTTCAATCTCTCATTTGACCTCACATACACTGTTCAGTTCTCCACTTTACTGTTCATAGTACTAGCAGCAAAGGGAAACTCTGGAGGGAAACATCATGGACTGTGCACTATGTCCTAGCTGCAAAGCTCCCTGCCTAACACCCTGAAAGGTAACTGTAATATATGAAGAGTGATTCAGTTTATTGATGTGTATTGGCCCAAGTACTGGTGAATATAAACCCTCAGTGATCACGGGCTTTATAGCATGGCTTTGTTTGGATCATTTCAGGAGGCTTCAATGGGTTTTGCATTTTCATTTTGTAATGATGAATTACCTGAAATCATTCCTCTCGGAATAGATTCCTCCAGCTTTGGCTCCTGTGAGGATGTTTCATTTGATGTCGAAAATTGCAATAGAACATTTCCTTGAGCCATTGATATGTCAGAATGGAGTTTATTATCACTCACAGTCCCAGCGTATTGGAGCTGTGTGACAGGCTTTGTAAATAATATGACATGGGGAGGAACTCATTTGATGCTGTGATAGGTGGTGAACGTTTCTAGGCAGGCATACAGGGTGAACTGAAGTAGCAGAAAGTGTGACCTTTTCTAGTAAGAGGTTTTCTCACTCTGTAATGTATATTGGTAATTAATGAGAAGTTTTAGTGAAGGAAACAGGGTTTCAGTGGCCGATAATGGCACAAGGTGTTGTCTTGTTTGTGTGTTGTTATAGCTGCTTGTTGTTCATGTGCCTTTGGATGAATTAGAAGATGGCTTCTGCATGCAGTCTCTTGAAGTCTGTTTCAGGTCCTGCTACAAGTATATGTTCAAGAGTGTATTAAAATTGCTGTTTGACACATTTCAAAGCAGAAGGTTAATCAATAATTATCCCAACGCACAACCAAAGGCAATATCATCCCTTCCATCACTGGTGAATTAGGCGGTTGACCTGCTCTGCGTGCCAGTTTTCCTAAGTAAATATTAAGAAAATATCAGGATACTTGCAGTTAGGAAACTCACCATCAGTTTAAATGTGTTTGTTTCAACCATTATCCCCTTAAAGCTGGTGGTTGCTCCAAACTCCGCTGTTGCAATGATATGCACAAGGGCTACTCTGTGCTTTATTGAATGGAAAATGAGAGGTGTTGCCTGACAGTGCTTTCCTTATGGTTTCTGTAAACACTGAAAACCAAGTCTTTATTGCCCTAAAAGTCATACACAGCTCTCATTAAAATCAGGTTTAATCCATTCATCTTTAAGCTTTCAGGTGTAGGTAGCAGAAGGAAATTAATTTGAAAATACCCCTGGTTTGCCCAGGTGTCATTATCTTGGTGTCTAATCATAGTTCTTCATTTACATATGAGGAAATTGACACATGAAGAGGTAGATTTTCTCATTATCAAATGAATATCTAAGTTAGGCTGTAGCTAGTGATTGCCAGGTTTAACCTTGATGTGTCGTGTGTCAAGTCGTTCCTCTGTGTAAATGGGTGGAGGAGCAGGGATGCGCCGCTGCTCAACAAAGGGGCTATGGGGCTACTGATTTCTTCATATCCACACCACTGGATCAGTGGGAAAGATACTTTCAGCTTGGGGTTGTCTCTAAGCTCCTTATTCAGGCCTTGTGCACTCACTATTTGCGGTACGTAGTGCTCAGGCCATTCCTCTTGGGCACGGAGTTGTTCCAATTATTTTTAAAGACATTTTGTGCACCGCTCAGTTCTGTTTCCTTTCCTCTGCTCGGAGCTCTCTTGACACTTCCTGGTGGTTTCAGCATTAGTTTATATGCAGACAGAGTACAGATTTCATCCTCCTTCCCCAGGTTTTTGGCTGATATTTTTTGGTCAGAGTATTTGTCATAGCCCAAGTGGTGTTTCCAATTGGATGCTGCCTAATCGGTTACTATTCAGCGCAGCTAAGAATGAGATTTTATTTTCAGGTTCTGTCACTCCGTGTCTTTCCATTTTAAGATAAATCCATCTCCGATGTCTCCTGTTTCTGAGCGACAAAAGCCCAGGTTTCATTTCCAGCTCCAAACTATTTCATTCATGTATTAACTTAGGCCTTAAGATCTCTTGCTTTTAGTTATCAGCCGCTTCCAGAAGTTGTTTTCATGTCACTGAGCACACACTGGCTCCGTTGCAGCCCTCCCCTTGCCAGAGGACTGCTGATTGTTGACTGTATTACTTTATTACCCACAAATAACCTTTATTTAGATCCAGAATGATGATCTTAATACATTGGGACCAAGGAAACTGAGGCATTTAGTGGTATGGACATGCACTGATTACACGGACAGACTTGATGATGGGAGGGATGGGATGGGAGGAAGCATTCTTTTACTTCCAGCTTAAAATCTCTCCTGTAGAAGTTGCCTCTTCTGTATTGTTTTCCATGCAAATGTTTCTCAGGAGGGTAAGCAAAGGGCTGGAGAATTTCATTATAAACAAATCTTTTTTAGACAGTTTTTCCTCTCCAAACCTCAGTTTTGGAAATACTTCTGATTTAATAACGCAGCACCATGCAGGTTTTGGCCTGGTCTTTTTCCCTCCTGATGCTGCAGGCAAGGCTTAGACAAAGTGGTGAAGAAGAACAACAAAACAAGAGGGGCGTGTTGGACCGCATCAACCGCAGTGATGGAAAACTGCGAGAGGAGTTTGCTTTCTTGGATGTCTCAAATGAAGGCTGCAGAAAAAGGTCAGGCAGATGGAGCCAGAAAGAAGAAAAAGAGATCTCATGGAGGCAGGCAACAGCGGATGGTTCACTGAAAGCTTTGTAAATATGCGCAGGTTTGGCCTTAGCTTCAGATTTACTGAAGAGCCCAGATTGTTTGAGCTGCGCCTGATTGTGCTGTGGGCAGCTGTATACAGGTTTCCGTGGTATGGTGAAGCTTGTTCTGCGAGTTGTAATAGCTTTTCTAGCATGACTGAAAATCTTTTCTCCTTGTTGCCATGCTCTTTGTATGTTTTATTTTGATTGTATTTCATGGAGGGGGAGCTGTCCTTATCTCGGACCGTTCTAACGTTGTCATGGGGAACCGGCTTCAAAAAGGCAATTTCTTTCCCTCTCTATCCCTCTTTCCTGCAGATGCAAGTGTATCTAACACAGCCTGTGCCCTCCTCTCTGCACCTGCAGCTCTGCCAGGAGAGCAAATCAATTAGAGGCAGTCAGAGCTGCCTGTATCCGTTGTAAGGGAAACAAAATCATCCCATACAATACATACAGAAAGTTAGCTGTTTATCGGCCTGTCTCTGTGTTTTGCTGAGAAATTGTTTGGCTTAATGCAGTTGTTGCAAATATTTAAGGTTTCAGACCCGTTATGAGTGTTTCTCAGGTGTCAAACTTTTAAATGATAGATGACACTTTTCCCTCAGCAAGTGATTTACTGCAGCCTTGTGAGTTACAGGCACACACAATAAAGAACTGATGTGGGTGTTGTAAGGCACAGTTTTCATCCTGGATTCTGCACTGGTATTTTGGGACAAGTCACCCCATCTCTCCGTGCCTCAGTTTCCCTATGTGTAAAAAGAGGAGAACCTATCTGCTTTATAAATCCCTCTGACAGCAGCAGCTAGGAGGCACCCAATAAGAATGAACAGGGGTTGTGAGCATTATTGCTGCCACTCAGGCACTGGGTTTCCTCTGTTCATTCCCTGTCACCTTCACTCTTGGTGCCTGTGTTGTCACTGGTTTCACATCCCACACTTGGAGCCTTTTGTCTTGTGCTTTGCAGCCTGGTAGAAATTTCCCTTCGGGCAGTCCTGCCATGGGCTTATGAACTCATTTAAAGCTGAACTCTAGTTCTTTTATACTTCTTCCCCACCCTGTCTAATCTCCTTTTATTCTTGCTTTATGTGCTCATCCATGTGCTTCGTGAGCAGCTTGTTTTCCTATTCGGCACTGTGCTTTGACTCTTGTGAAAGGCACTATATTAGATCTCTAATAAAGTGTGTGTAAGTTATTCATGTCACACTCTGCACCAGGGAGCATAGTCCATTATGCAAATGGTCAGTGCAAGCTTCCTATAAACCACATATACTCAAAGGGCACGGTCTTTATATTGCCATCAGCCAGCGCAGACATGTGAAAGGAATAGGAAGGATATGGAAAGGAAGTTCTTTCTATCAAGTTCATGCAATTTGTTCCTTTCAACACGAAAACATCCTCAGGAAGCAAAGCAATGGTTTTCTACCTCCAGGTTAATACTGTCCCTGCTGGCCTAAACTCAGTGAAACTCCTTTTCACCAAGTCCACTGGATTTAGGAGGTTTTAGCACAAAATGTGTCAGCCCCAGTGTTGTGATGAACTTCAGCTGGGGATTCAATACCTGCAAGGGCAAACTGTGCCCTTGATTTCAGTGCTGCAGTCATCCAGGCTGTGTGGTGTAGAACAAGGTCAGAGGAGCCCACTGGTGTTATCCTCCTCTGACAGCCAGGTAGCCCTAACCTGCTACTGCAGCTGCAATGGAGTGGTCCAGATATTGCATAGATCCGCCTTTAGCTATCCTTCAGTGCAGGTTCAGCTGCACAGTTCTTAATATCCACAGTAGCCTCCAAACCATCTCCTCCAGTCAGGAAAGAGAGCTACATCATGGAATTGATGGAATCGCTCAAACCAGCTCACGTTTAGTGTGATGCACACCCACAACAAATCCTTCCGAAATGGCCCGTGATTAGACACATAAAGTGATTGTCCACTGATGAGTTCCAAATAATGGACACGTTGAGAAAATGACAATCTGCTGGCAGATAGTTTGCAAACAGAAAGAGAGATTGAATTCGTCAGCTAAATGATTCATTCTGGCTTCCTCCGGGTTGTTCATGGCTAAAACAACCCATGCATGGCTCCAGCAGGCAGTTTTGTGAGCTTTGCCGTTTCTTCCTGTGATTGTCATGCATATAATATCTTATTACATTGGATATTAATGGCAGTGTTGTGCTCAGGTATTGAAAATCCATATGGCCTGTATAATATTTACAGTATGACACAGTAATAAGTCACAGCGACAGCCTGCTGCCATGCACTCCTAGCGCTCCGCTCCCAGCGGAAGCAGAGATGTACCACGATGTTTGTTGGGATAGAGATGAGCCTGGCTTTTAATTAGTTGGATCTGTGGCTTGAAGTGGGGGGAGCTGTGGAGGGTGGGTGTTGCTTTGCATATGTTACCGTGGCATGAAGACTGATAGCAGAGGAATAGTTCAAGTGCAGCTTGAAGGCTGTTGGGTTTCTTTTGCTTCGCTGCTTGCTGACAAAGCAGATGGGGAACACCATGAAAACATCTTGCTCTTTGCGGAAGGACCTCCCTGTTTCGTGGGGGTCTGCATGTGGTAGGGAAGGAGTGCTTCTTTCTGCACTGCACTGGATGTGGGAGCATCACTGAGAAGCTGAAATGGTTTCAGGAAAGGAGGAGCACTGGGCTATGACCCTGGAAGCTCTCAGGAACTATGGAGACCAAGCAGGAGCAAGGGCACAGAGAGGAGTGTAGCAGGCAGGCTGCAGATGGTTGTCAGTGGCATCTTGGTAATACACCTGCCAAGCAAGGGGCAGAGTGTGAAGTTTATGCTGTCAAGGATGGGGATAAGATGAGGATGCTCAGTGAGAGTTTGAGCAATGGTCTAGATCTGAGAAGGGAGTAAAAAAAAAAACCCAAACCCTGAGATTTACATGCAGCTTGGTGTTGTTGTGTGTGGCCTGGGAGGGGAAGGAAAAGGGGGAGGTCAGGTATGACTGACGGGGGCCAGACCTCAGCAATGGGAAGGAAATTGCTATTGTGAATAGGAGGCAGAGATTGGAGGCTACAGAGACAGTCTCTTGGGGGGGGGAAGGTCAGGAATACAGAGCAACAAGACAAGCACGGCTAAAGCTTCAGCTCCTGGGGAGGCAAAATGAGCAGTGTGACTGAGCCCTGGTGACCCCACACGTGCTATGTGAGGTCCCTGCAGCCCCAGTTTTAAAAGCCATGGGAAGCAGTCCCCACACCTCTGTGCCTCAAAGCTGTGTTTATCCTTTCCTCCCTGCAATCTGCATCTCGGCAAGTCAGCCCTGCCCCATGGAGCCTGCAAAGATGCTGAGTTCCACCGTGCTGGCCAGGGGCTGCAGCAATTCCTCACTTCCCCACTCTCCCTTTCAGATGCAGGTGGAATTTTGTGCCATGGGGGATAGAAACCTGCTAGCATCTGTCACCGAGGCTTTGCTCTCATTTCCAGGCAGATTTCTTCTAACTATGAGAACTTATCAACCTGGAAAATCTTCCCAGAGACCATTTCTTGGGGGATGGAGTGGAAATGGGATCTCCTCCTTCAGGATGTGATGGCCTTTTCCTGGGGACAGTTTAATCTCTCAGAGGCAGATGAATATGAGGCTCAGTAACTTGGTACAAGCAGGAGGTGAGGGGAGATGGAGAGAATTTCAATAAAGCAGCTGAACAAAGAATCTGGAGCTGCTGTAGAGTCCTGTCAGAGTCCCTGCTTGATGAACCTGGGGTGGAGATCACCCAGGGTAGGTGGCAAAGCATTGCCTCAAGGGTCAAAGCTGCTTTATAATAGAGCAGCTGGTTTAGTTCCCCCATTTTTCTTGCTTCTCAGTTACTCTGCCCCTCACAGCTCTCAGGCACTGTACTCTTGCTTTCTCCTCCTATGTGTTCTCACTCTTGTACAGGCTTTCCCTTTCCTTGGCAAGAGGTTGCCTGGGACCTGAGCTATTGTGAAGGGTTTCTGCTGGTTGTCAGCAAAGGAGGGGATTTCATCTGGGCTGCATAAGACAAAGACACTGGATAAGGGGAAGCAGACCCCTGACTTCTGCTTTTATTACAGTCATCTCTGGGCAACAAACAGTGCACCAGGCACTGAGAAACAACTGAAAGGGCGTATGTATGAGAGGACACACACTGCTCACTGTTTCCTATGCTGTTACCCTGCAGAGCTGGTCCTCTCCTACTCGCTGTAGCACTTGAGGCAGCGAGATGTTCCACTGAGAACCCAAAGGTCACCAGGTGTATGTGTTACGGAAGCATCATTTTGCGATGTCTAACCCAAAATCCCTCTGCAGAGACACTCTCTGTAGCCTCCCCCAGCAGAGTTGGGCCCTGAAAGTTGTTTTTATTCTAGTAGAGATGTCACGTCTGACAGTTGCTGTCACCCTGTGATTAGACCAACAATCAGCCCTAGCTTCTTTTGATAGAATATGAGCCCTGACTGATTAACAAAGTGGCCTTTGGCCTCAGGTTAATAACAGATTTCACAGCACTGCTATGGAGTGATTATTATTTAACAAGGACTTAGTGGAAGTTTGATATTCTCCTACAGGCTTCTGTCCATCCGAATGCAGAATTGGAAAGTAACAATTACGGACATGAACACCAGCCCAACTGGAGGTCTCCTGGTCCCAAGGCATCAGTATTCTTGGTGCATCTGTCACATCTCTGTATTAGATGGACTAATGTATTGGGTTTGCTTCTTTTTATGACACCTCAGTGTATTCATCAGCCAAAGTATGAAGTTGCCTCAGTCCATCAGTTATTTGAGTTATCAAGTTATCTTGTGTATTACTTTCCTCCATCTGTCAGTCGTCTCACTAATGTCAGCCAGTGAAGTCCCTTGGTAGGTCTGTCTTGCAGGTGTATCTCATTCCCTTTTGATTGTCATGACTTCTGATTGTCATGGAGATATCAATCTCCAAAGCATAATCTTCTCTCTTTTCTTACTTATCCAGGTTAATCAGTTTTCCTGGTGGGTCTTTTGCCTTGGTGGCAAAAGTGGTGTAGAATTATCATGTGAAAGGTGCTGTGCTATGAACTGAGATCAGCTGCACATCACTGCCTGCAGCCCACGTACCCCATTTCGGGAACTGCAGATCTGAGCTGTTTCTGCCTCACTGAAACACCTCAGCGCCTTGGGTTTTAGTACAGCAATCTCACATTAATCCAGCTTGCTACAGAAGTGCTATTACTGTTGTGTCTCAGCGGGTCACCTGTGAATAGTCACTCTAAGGGCCAGATGGGTAAACTGATAGATGCGCGACTCTGTTCAAAACCATATGGTTTGAATGACTTTGATGTCCAAGAGACATATTCAGGGTGATGTATTGGATTAGGAGCTTAACTATAACTGAAAGTTAATGGACTTAGTTTCCTAAGTCTTACATATTGCAGCACTTTGCAGAGCAATGCCTAAGTGTTGCACTTCAGGAGTTTACCAGGAGGCAGCAGGAAGCTTGCAGTGAAACAGGGAACTGAACTTGGGTCTCCTAGTTCCCAGTCCAGCTTCCTTTCCTGAGCCATCCTTTCTTCCCTGATAAAAAGAGGGAAACGATGCCTATTTCACCAGTTGTGGATATCTCAGAATCCAAACCCAAAGGGTAGAAAATGGTCCTGCTGAAACCCAAAGAGGAGAAAATGGTCCTGCTGATGCCAGTAGAGAAGGTATGGCAATTTCTTCTCCTACATGTTGAAAGGACCTCACTGAATGTGCTCCTTTACCTACAGACCTCTTCAGCTCAGCAAATGTTTTTGCCAATTAAAGGGTTTCCTGCTGCTGTGGTTGATCCACACGAATGGAAATAGAGGGGAGGGTGGAGGAAGGAATCATTAAATCAGCAGAACAAAGGCATGAGGGCAAGTTAAAAGACCTGATCTGAATAAAGGAAGCTCCTCAAAATATCAGCTTCTTTGTCCTGCCTGTCCTTCATCCATCCAATTCTCCTGAATGCTGTAGAGAGGCTTTGTCATTCTCAATGACATGGCAGGAGGAGCCAGTCCTTCAGCACGCTGCCTAAAATAGCAACAGACAAGAGACAAAGTGCTCAGAGGTTCAGCTCAGTCTATGAATGCTCAGAATTTCAGGGCCAGATCTGGATTATTCAGTCCTTACAATAAGATTCCTCATCACAGATACTTGATGCTTTGTAGATGGAGCTATGAAGATGGCCTCATTCATGGCTGCCCCTCTCTCAGTCATTATCTATATAAGTTAAGGTAATGTGTGTTAGACAGGTGAAGTACCAATACCATGGTAGTATTGCAACTCAAAATTGGGCTCAAATTCCTGGGATTTAGCAACCGATATACCCCTAATGGAATTGAGATCCATTTTTCCCTCATCTCCAAAATTCCTCATCCTTTAGACAGTCACTCCAGTATCCGTACTTCTTTCCAGGTTCTTGTGCAAGGTTTATCACCACAGCATTTGAGCAGCTTCCAGTGTATAAGTGACTTAGCAGCATGTGAGTGCTGAGGTTATTGCAGCTCTACATTTATATTATCAGAATTTCCCTTACTACTGCCTTTTTCTTCCATCCTTTCCTATTTATCTAGTAATTCACCTCTTGGGTCTGAGAGATATGACCTGTGAGAGGATTCCAGGCTGAAATGCCAGTTCAGGAGCTATGATTGAGTTAGTCTCCCATAACTATTAATATCGCACCTCCAAAACTTGTGTATAGGACATTGCAACATGCCCTTACTTGCATTGTCAGCAGCTTGCAATACTGCTACAGGACTTTCCGTCCTCACGAAACAGTTGCACCAAGAGACCTTTATATTCCTTGTTAGTATTTACAGTGGTCTCCTTCTGCAAGAGAAAGCAACCTTAAGCAATGCAATCACATCGCTCCCATAGACCTTCTCCACTCTATCGTCCAGTACATGCTTTTGTGTATATAAAGCATGGATCGTGGGTGTGTGGATAGAATAAAATGAGCCTGCTGAAGTCTCTGTGTTTCAGACAAATAGAGCAGACCATGGAAAACAATGTCTTTGTGCTATGCTCCTGCAAACATATGTTGTGTTTGTGACCCCAGCGTATTGCTCACAACAGTGAGATGGAATTACTTTTTCAGTCCAGTGGAAGATAGAGAGTTTCAAATCCCACAGAAGCTTCCAGCTGTGTCTTCTGCTGGGGTTTGGGTGCCTTTGCCAATTCAGGAGCAGAGCTTAGTAGGTAGCTGGCTTGTAATTAATCACTCCTTGCTGAACAACACAAGGGTTAAAGGGACCTTGCTGTGGACGGAGGCTGTGTGTGCATAAGCCTTTTCAAAGTCCCTGAGCATTCATCATCGTTCCTGTCTCCCAGCTAATGAGCAGCTAAAGTGATTTTCTATTGCTTGTAATTCAGCAAAATTGTTCTAACTGTTCGAGGAGCCAAAATTGACAGGCTAATGCGGCCGCTGCCTGAGTGTCTCAATGGCTCATCGAAGGGTGAGCTGATTGCTGCCTCGGTGATCAGCCGAGGTGCTTCAGACCACATCATTTCTGTAATACATCAACAATCTGAAAGCTGAAAACAAAGGCCAGAGGAGAGCAATCATAGGTCAGTGATGAATACTAAAGAGTACAAGGAAGAAAGAAGTATTGTCTTATTCCCTGGTCTTATTTCTCTCTCTGTGTCTCTTTGCTTTCAGTCTCCAGGCAGGGTACTGATAGTTCTGGACCTTTCCTTACTTAAGCAGACTAAGTTAAGGTGGAATGGAGGATGATGTGGGCTGGTTGGGTTTGTTGTTGCCCTAGTAGGTTTGTTGTTGGACCTTGGAAGACTGGAAGGTGGAAAGAGCAGCCACTGAGTACAGGATACATCAGCCTGAGACACGTCCTCCGTATATTAGAGCTGGTGTTTGCTGCTCACTCCCCTTCTCATGATCCATGTTTCAGGATTTGGTTTTAGGATTTTGAGGTTTTAGACTGTGCTTTGGGTTGAATTTCTGTTGTTATTTTTCCTCCAATGACAGGAATTAGAGAGTTATTTGAAAACAAACCAGAGCACAGTTGGAAAGGCACAGCAGTGAGAATGCCTGGTTTCCCATACTGTGTATATTGGTCTCTATGATGTCCAAAGTGCTGTGAGCTGAAGACTTGTAGTTTAGAGCTGCAGAGCAGCTCTGCTGTATGTGAATTCTCTGTTGACCTCCTATTGTAGATACTCTTCAAGTCATGGCATAAGGTCTCTGCCTTCTAATCAGCCACCTAACTCCACAGAATCTACAGTAGTTCAGTGTGGTTTAAAGTGCTTTATTTTCTGGCTTAAAAATGGCCAACATGTTCCAACCTTATTGTTTTTAGGAGGTGAACACACAGAGTGACTACATGACCCTCATTTCTTTGGGGAAAAAGACTAAAAAAGCCCCATAATCAAGCTCTCAGCTGTAGGAGCTGAGATCTCAGAGAACTCCCTGAATGGCTGGACTCAAGAGAGAAAAAAAGCACTGGGAAAAACAAGGGTATAGAGAAGTCTAACTGAAGCTTTTAGCATTCTGGACCTAACTCCTTCCTTTTCGTGCTCAGGACATCAGTAAGCATGCAAACCCGATTTTTGCCCAGGTGCTCCACTGCAAACTCAGTGACCAGGAGATGCCTTTTCATCCGCCTCCTTGCAGACATCTGTGTCTCTCCTGGAAGTTAGTGTGTCTGCCAGTGTGGCTTTCAGGATCACCGGAACTCAAAAGCTTTCTCGCATCATCAAGCGCAGACCCCAGGGAAGTCATTTTCACGTGGTGCTTATGCACTCGGGCCTCTATATCTGAGCTGGACAGCTTGAAACCTTGAAATACTATGGCAATTCTTCTCTGTCCAGTCTGGTCTCCCATCATTGTTAAGCTCAACTACAGATGAAATTTGAAGGGATTTATCCAGCTACTCTCATCAAAGGCAGCCACTAAAGAGAGCTCTGAATATTTACCCCATGCTGGGTTTATTTATTCCCCAAAACATTTCTTTGGAGTACAAATTAGGTTTTGAACCTAATTCTCAGTGTGGGCTTTGTTTGGTGTGTAAAACCTGAGCTTGTGTGGGCTGACCAGGGGACTGTCTTAGCAACTGCTGCTTTGTCCTCAATAGAAGGTATAATTACCCTAATTTATTCTGAAAGAATGATGGCTCTGCCTTCAAACCTTAGAGATAATCAAGAGACAAACCTAATGCTTTTTCAAATCGGAAGTTCTGGATTCAATTTTTTACCATTGCGACCCAGGAGCATGCATCAAACTGTGACTTACAGTGGGTAAAAATAGCCAGGGACATATAGGATCAGGTTCCCTGTCACAGGACCATGAATAACTCGTGCTATGCTGACATTCGGGATCTTTAGATACCATACGGTTGGTCTGCACAAACATCATATAAAACACTGTAGCATAGGTGGGATCTGAATCTGTATTTTCTGAAGCCCAGGAGAAGGTGTTGCCTGTTGAATTGCATAAATAGCATCACTAATTGCTTTTCTGAGACTTGTTTACATTGGTCGTGATTTTAGTGATGGTTGGGGGCACTCAGAGGAGGTTTCTTGAAGGACTTACTTATGTGCTAATCTTTCTCGGCTTTTAATGTGGAGGATCACATATCTAGAAGCTAGAGGAGAAGATGGGTAGCTGTTGAATTACTGATTTAAGGTACCTGCCTTGCTTTATTGATTACTGAAAGAACCAAAAGATTTTACTTAGCCTAAAGCTAAGAAAAAAGCTAAGAAGCAAAGCTGCCAACATCTTCCTTATTTATTCACAGAATAAAGCCCTCTCATGCTAATTGTCCACATCTCCATCTTCTTCAGAAGGCTTGCCTTTCATATTGCTTGATTTTATATCGTTGGATGCTTAGGATGTTTCTAACCAGAGAAAAAAGCAGAAAAAGACAGAAAGCACAATCTGAAAAGGAGACTTAAATAGAAAAGATGCTTAGATTTAAAGTATTGTCTCCATATTCAATAGCGACACATTAAATCACTGAAGTTTCAATAACTCGTACAGTATCTCCATGGAGATGTGCACCATATGGAGTTAATTAGTAGAACAACAGAACAATCAATTAGTTCCTTAATAAGTTTTACTAAGAAATGATAACAAACACAAACAATTTATTCAAACAAATGCCTGGACCACAATGATAGTTTAATGGCCTCTGTGAAACTGGCTCCATGCTGAGCCCCTTACTGGTACTTTGATTGATTCTGAAGATATTGAGGGTAAATGTTAGCTTTGGTCCAGCCAAAATGTTTTATCAGGATGATCAATTATTTACAGTATTAGAAGACAGAGAGGAGATTGCTGAGAGGTTTTAATTTAAAAAATGATAATAAAAAAGAGGGGAAAGAAAACCTTAAATAAGAAGATTCCATCAAGACAGTATTTAAACTGGTAGCAATATGTGGTGAGTAAGACAATAGGGATTTGCCCTGCATGCCACATTTAATCCTAGAAATAAATTGGTTTTCTGTATCATATCAAGATTGGTATTTTTGGTATATACATTGGGTAAGAGAATCAGGCATGCACAGGTCATCCATTAACTTGGACATATTCAAAGCGAAGTGATGCTGGGAAGTGGAATCTTGGCAATTAAGTAGTGTAAGTCAGAATGAGCAAAGGGAGTTGGCTGTGGGGTTTTATGTTGATCTGTATCACAGGTATTTGTGTGAGGCTTTTCCTGCATGAAAGGAGGCATCTCTACATGGCACACCTGACTTCTACTGATATCAAGAAGGACTCAAGAGCTCTGGAGAATGCATTACCCATGCCACCAAGGAAAGTTGATATCAAAATTAGCTCCTTTGCTGCACTCAGGGGCTGTGATTAATTGCTTGTTAGCAAGATGTTCAAAGTACCACGATTTATGAGAGTTTGATCAGGCAGATTATGGAATATAACATTTCAATAAATTCATAGTTACTATAGATATATGTTACAATGATAAATAGGTCAAGCTACTATAGACATTTTAGATCCAATAAAGTTATTTTTAGAATGTGTTTATGTGATGGACTAACCTATTATTTACCCAGCTGCATTTTTATGAACTAATCCTTTCCTTTAAAAAACAAGCCCAGACTTCAGGATGGTGTTTTATTGCTACCATCTTCCCCATAATTCTTCTTTCTCCAATAAATAGATCTCTCTTTTGTGGAAACAAATAAAAAAGAATCCTCTCTTAGCAACTTTGGAGGCTGCTCAGGCCTTGCAGCCAGAGGCTGTGTGGGAATGATGCTCAGGATGCAGATTGTGAGCGGTCATACCCAGAGGGGACACATCTGGCAATGCTCTTTGGGGAAGCTCATCCACTGAACAGTCTCTCCCAGCTGGGACATCTACAGCGGGGAATCAGGTAATGAAAACTGCTGGCAGAGAGAAATGCAAACTCTTGTGTAAGTCATCAAAGCCACTGTCAATCTGTAGTCTTCATTTCTTTGACCAGTGGGGTGCGTGTGTATATTTGTGTCTGTTTCTGAGGCTTCCTGTTAAATCAGAGCAAAATGGAGACTGCTTCTCTTCATGCCCTTGCTTTAGTAGCATCTTTTACCTGTCAAGCTGGCTGTGGGTTTCCAAGGCAGCCTTTGTTTCAGGAAACAGGTTCAGGACTGCAGTGAGTAGGTGGCACAACCAGCTCTGCTTCTGGTGCAGTGGCTGTCACCTCAGTCCCTGAAGAGGGAAGTTTGAGAAAAAACCTAACACAGTCTTTACAAGTTCCAGTACCTGTGGATTCTCTACAGCACCTTCACTTTGCTTTGCTCTTTTTCTTTGGAGACCATATTAAATAGCTGTCCCAATCTTGTGGATATGGTTTATTATTTCACTAAGGAAAAGGACCAAAATGTCCCTTTCATGTCTGTGTAAACTAAGTCTTCCTCTTGGCTTGTTCCTGCAGGTCACTGTGAGGTGTTTCAGTAACACAGCCCCCATCATCAGCACCCCAGCAGCCTCCACTTGGTGGCTGAGTAGCTGAGGATAAATCTCTGCTTGCAGCCAGGCTGCTGGTTAGAATGTAAATGTCTAAACTTTGGAGAAGTGACCTCTGTTAAGTGGTTTAATGCCGTGTGTTGCCAGGAGCTCATGAATTCTGTATTACAGCAAGTAGTTCCATGAGATTGCAACTATCTTCCTAATAATACAACCTCAACATATTTATCACAATAACTCAGACATAGAGAAAGTATAAATATCTTTGATATGGGGAAATGAACTGGCTGCCTATAGGCATCCTCTTTGCTTTATTGATTTAACCCTTTACGGGCGTCTGTCAGCGACTGCTGCAAAGAAACAGATTCAAAAGGATTAAATGATGATGCTGGGTGTCTGCACAACACAATTCGGCCTGATTCGGTGTTTTACAGATGTTACCAGCAGACCCACAGGTTGGAGATGTGAAGGTTTGCTTTACAGCCTGCTGAAATGAAGCAATCTCTGCATTTGGGGTAGAGAAAAACTAGGTTTCTTTTACTGTGCAGTATATTTAGGAGATGGAGTGAAGAAGAGTGCGTCCAGCTGAGGCACCCTAGATAATGTCAGGGAGGCAGGATGCTGGTCCTGTTCCTTGGTTGAGGCCATCAGGCACAGCACAGTGCTTGGGGTTGCCTCGTGCTTTCTGACCCTGTGTGCAGGATCCTGCTGGCCAGATGATCTCAGATGGGTTGTAACTGGTATAAGGTGCCAAAAGCAGAGAATGACAACAGTGGTGTTCTGAGAGTGCAGTAATGTGTATTGGGTGACTGCTTTTCCTATATAATACATGAGCCTGGATCAATCTGGTACCAAGGAGTTGTTACCAATGACCTTGGTTTAAACTCCACCCCACTGCTCCCCATGACATCAAGCTCTTTTTCTGTTATGCTGGAGGATAAGAGATCCAACTGACACTTGCTAAACATAACCCCCATTCCCTGTATCTCAGATCTCTCCTGTGATCAGATGATGGCTGTATGCTAGCACTAACCCTGTCTGACTTACGTTATAGTTTTCTGATGTGATCAGAGACTAGAGTGGTACAAGATAGATTGTAAAGCACATGGATATGGTCAGGTAGAGCTGATTTCCTAAGGGATTTAGGATAGGGAAAATTAGAAGTTCTTATGCAGTAGCTAAAATCTTTTGTGTGTGATCAGGTCTATGTGATAAAGTGACTCATGTTCTGGAGTGATAAAAGCCTAATTTCATGGGCCATCCACACTGCTTTTCTTGAGACAGATAATGTTCTTACAACACACATTTCCCATCTTCTTTCCTGATAAAGATCTCCTTTCACTTCTTTTTAAAATGAAGTAAAACTTAGGAGTTGCTGAAGAAGTAGCACTTTTTATGGTCACTTTACCCCCCCCCCCCAAAAAAGTCTTTCAGTATTTCAAGCAGCAACAAACTTCGGAAAACAAGAAAAAAGGGTTTTGAGGTTCTTTTCATTTGATATATAGACTGAATACAGACAGGAGAAGGTCAGGGATGCAGCAGCTGAGACAAAAGGGGAGGAGGAAATATAAGGGCTGCTTTTTATGGTTTTTATGATACTACTTAGACCCAATAAAATGCTTCCATTTCAGATACAAACCACTTTAGATGGGTCCAGAAACAAATATGCCAAGACTATTGAAATGTGGGCTGAGTCGCATTTCTCACTGTAGTTTCACTCTATGATGGGTGCACAGACCCTTCCTCCTGTTTGGGGGAATCACTCTTTCAGTTAGCAGACGTACTTGATGCAGGGATTTAACTCTTATGTATTTACTTGTAGCAGGAGGATGTTTTCAGCTGTGAAATCCCCATGAAATTGAGATTTCACTGCATGTTGAACTTCACACCCTCTGGATAACCAGGGTCCCGTTTCAGTGGTGCGATGTGCAGCTGCAGGCAGCTGGATCTTCAGCTGGAGTGTGTGCTCAGCATGCTTAGGGCAACAATCCTGCTAGATACTAAGCACTACCCTACTTCTGGAGGATGTGAGCAGCGCTCGTTGTACCTTTATCTCTGCTCACTGAGTGTGGAGGGATGCTTCAAAGCAAGAAAGAAAAACTCTGTGTACATGCTAACCTCTAAAAGGAGCAAAATCTGCTGACAGAGAAACGGGCCCCATAATCAGACCTACGTGTATCATTTTAGTATGACTTTTATTAACCTTTGTCATCTCCATCCAAACGGATTCAAGGTGTTTTCGGACTTTACAGCGGTCACTGCAGTGTTGCCCTAGGGAGATGAGAAGGGGCAATGCCAGCAGGAACCTACTGAGCCAAAAGGAAGATTAAATATCTTTCTTTTGCCAGTTTTTGCACAGCCTGCCCACTGATGTACATTTGCTCAGCCACCCTTTTCAAGGCAAACGTTGGCTCAGGACATTGCAGCTACGTTACAAAGGGAAAGCGCTCCCTGATAGAGATGTAACTGTCTCTAATTAAAGTGCCTGGTAGGGGATCCCAAATCCACCTGACCTCACCACCACCTTGTTCCTGCAAGTGGGAACCTCCGAGGCTCAGAACTGGTCTCTCCCTTACCTATGTTTTAATTTGTCTTCCCAAGGCTCTCAGGCTGATGAAACCTCAATTATCTGATACTCAAAGCTAAGCAAACCGAGACAGCTGTCTGAGGCCACAACTGCTTTTGCCCATTTAGATCAGACACTTTCCCTCTAATCTTTTCCAATTTCTCTAACATGCACTTCATTTTTTAATGCCCCACTCTCTTCCCCCCACCCCACCCCGAGCTGCAATCTTCTACACCACTGACAACAAAAATCCTTTTACTCTCTCTGGTCCATGCTGTTTTCCCAGCCCAGGGACATGTACAAAAATAAGCAGCCCCACTGAAGCCTGCTCTCTCTTTGCATAAATACAGTGGTTATGGAAAGGTGTTCATTCTATTTTCCACAACCTGTCATGTTGACTTTCTAATGAACCGGTTACTCGGCTCTGGGAAGCAGATGGAAACCTCTTCTGACAGCCCCTGTCAAAGAAATAGGCAGGAAGAAGGAGAAAAGAATTGCTGGGTATGAACTCCTAGTGCTTACATGGACAGTGGCAGGGACTGAGGAAAGATGTAGGTTTTGAACAGGATTTAAAGGCTTCATCAATCATAACAGTGATGGAAATGCAGCCATCAAATAAAAATAAAAGGATACATAACTGATTTTACACCATGAATTGATTTCCTCCCTGGTGAAAGCAATGCAAAGGTGGTGTTTTGGAAACAGAATCAAGAAGCAGGTAATCAGTCTATTTACATACTCCAAGCCAAAGGGAATATAAAAACCCAGAGGAAACAGCAGAAATGAGCATTAGTAAAACTGATCTAATCTCTGGTGTTATTAGTTGCTCAAGCCAGGCTGTATGATAGATATACATATATATTGCTTCTCTCCTCTTTCAGCCATGGCTTCATATAACATCTGTCATCTCGCTCGTCCCCAGTGACAGAGCCAGCCCTACTGAGCATGTCCTGCAGATTCAGCTCCTCAGGATCCTCTTTGCAGAGCAGTACAGGTATTTGCTCCATGAATAGGGCAGGGTGTTAACAGTGAATTGCCCTTGCAGGGTGGGCAGCTATTCAGCCCTGGCACAGACTGAATGTGTGTTGGTATTCTGCAGAAGCTCACTGTACATCAGTATAAGAGACTAGGTGGGCTATGAGGTTATAAAGACTAAATTCAAGAGTTCAATTTAGTTCCCTATGGAATTGAGATGTCTGTGATGCAATGTCCAGGCGCCTATCAGACATCACTAAAACTTCAAGCAGAATGGTCAAGCTCTCAAAACATCCAAATTCCTGTGGATTTCCTGAAAACAGATGGATGAAGGAGAGGAGGAGCCCTAGCAATAGACCCAGGCTGCAGCACTAGCTCAGCCCTTATTAGGCATCAGAAATCCTAAAAGACCATTGAGTCCTGAGACATAAATCCTTCAATGGCCCAGCTACATTGGTTCTGCTGCTCAGGGAGCTGCTTCCTTAATCTGACATTGTTTCTAGAATTGAACACCCTTAGGAGAGCTTCCAGGCA